ACCAGCACTTACAATTTTGTTAAGATTTTATTTATTCCTAGAGAGAGAGGAGGGAGGGAGAAAGAGAGGGTGAGAAACATCAATGTGTGGTTGCCTCTCATGCACTCCTCACTGGGGACCTGGCCCACAGCCTAGGCATGTGCCCTGACTAGGAACTGAACCGGTGACCCTTTGTTTTACAGACAGGCACTCAATCCACAGAGCCATGCCAGCCAGGACAGCACTTACATTTTAATACATTTAAAACATATTAAATGAGAGCTACTTGAAAACTTTAGACTAGAATCATATAAAATGTTCTAAAAATATAAAGGCAGGCAAAATATATCACGATTCAATGTTCAATATTAAAAGGAAGATACACAGTGGAACATACAGCATGATTTTCACTGTGTAAGAAACCGTGCATTCCATACAAATCATGTGTCACGTGCATGCACTCACGTACATCCAGAAGGAAAACATTACCAACAGTTGTCTTCGGGTGGCTCTTTAAGTCTTTCTGTATTTCTCAGTTTCTACAGTTAATTTTGTTTTACATTCAAAATACACCTATTATGTTTAAAAGGTCAAGTACATGGTGTTATGTATGTGTCTATTTCACATCTGTACTTCAGAGCACATGGGAGCAGAGTGGTGAGCAGGTCTGACCCTCCTGCGGCTAATTGTTGAGTGTTGTCAAATGGCTGAGGCACCCAGAAACGTGTTTATTACATATTAAAAATGAGAATGCATTTGTTTCCCTATCATTCTAACAGAGGTGAGTCAAGGGGGAATTGATAAATGCATGGTAGTTTTGAGTGTAAGCAAAGAAAGACACCAGTATTTCAAAATACCAATATTCTGTATGTGTATCAATTCCCCAATCTCACTGACAAACCCCAGAAGAGAATTTCTTTCTAGTTTTATAGCAAGAGAGAGTGAAGCAAAGAAGATCAAAAAGTTTTCACAAGACTGGATTGAGAAAGTAAGCCTCAGCCCATGGCTGCTCTTCAAAGCGCTGGTTCATAAGACTGCTCATCATGCTAAAATATGAGATGCGTGATGTTCAGAGGCGGCAGCTACTTTGCGGCCACTAAGGCTCTTAGTATTACAGGATTAGGGTTCTTTGCTCCATGAGGTATAAGCTTTCTTCTAATCACCTGCATCTCCTTTTCCTTCTGGTTTGGTAATAAATAATAAAGCACAGAAAAGTTGCTGCCTAGTGTGTTTCAACAAAATCTTTAACTAGTTCACAAAATTGCATTTTCAGGTGCTGCTGTTTGTTGAGCTTATTTCATTTTGCAAGATAGCAAGGGCTTTTCCACATTTAAGTCCTTGAATAGTTCCTGGATCCCAGTGAGGTCTCTGTTACAGGGTTTGCTTTAGGATTTTTGTCCTTTAGCTTTTTAGAAAAATTATTGTTTATGCAATTAAAAATAATTTAATGGCATAATTAAATTATTAATTTAACTTATTGCATATTAATCATGTGATACATTAATAATTAACGTTGTTTCCACTTTTTGCTTTTTCTCCTCTACCCCAGCTCCACCCAGCCCCACCCACGTCCCTCCCAGAGTCAATCCCTGTATCTTTGTCTGGGTCCATGAGTCATGCATAAATGTTCTCTGGTTAATCCCTTCACCATCTTTCATGTTTTTGGCTTTCTATTACGGAAAGACAGAGGATAGAAAAGTAAAGCAGTAATGATATACAAGTAGGGGAAGGATGGCCAAAGGCAAAGGGATTTTTCTTGACCCTAGCTAGTGTCATTCCATTTTGGAAAAAGAAAATTCCACAACGCACTTTAAGCCTCCTCTTCTCCTTCCTCCAATAGTGCTGGCTCAGACTCACTCAGCAAAAAAAAGGATCTAGTATATAATCTGCCCTTTACTGAGAACATTTGCCACTGAAACACTAGAAATAATTTTCCTATTACCAAATGAGACAATTGAGATATTTGTCAGAAACAATTTCTGGGTAATTCAAGTTCTTGCAGAGTGTAGGGGAGAAGCAGCCCCCTCCACACCCAGGGCTGGAGGAGGTGGCTGTGGTTCAGCCTGTGGTGACCGGGGCAGGTGACTAAGCACCTCCTTCCACACCATGAGGCTAGAGACCAGCATGGCACGGGCTCTGCTGTGACTGGCACCAGAATACCAGTCTCATCACATTCACACACACACACACACACACACACCCGTATCAAAAACAGACTCTTTTTATGACCCCGCCAGCCCAAACCCTCACTCTTTCCCCAGCTGTCCCCAATAACTACCCGAATTCTTTTAAAAAAGGTGATTTTTCTCCTAAAGCATACCGCAGTTGATTTTTTGTTAAAGTTTATTGTTGTTGTGTTTATTTGTTGGTTTGTCTGTTTGCATTTAAATGAGAGACAGTGTAGCACAGCATTTTGCCGTGTCTAATGTGCTCCCGTGTATGCTGCAGACCCGCATTTTAGCCTAAACTTTCAGGAAAAAATCTCTCATTTTCATTTTTTCATTCAATTATTTACTTATTTATATTTAAATACTTGGTTTTTGTATTATAAAGGAATTTTAGCATTTATTTTTGAACATATTATGTTACAAGAAATATTATGTAACAAATATTTCCAAAACAAAAACAGATACAAGCTATTTCAGGTACTGCCATGTATAATGTGCATCTTCTTTTTCCCTTAAAAATTTTGTGGGGGGCGGAGTGCACATTATACACAGCAAAACACTGTCATTCTCTCCAGAGAAGTCATGTCACCAGGAGGAGTAATTTCAGGTCTCCAGACAGAGCAAACTGCACGAATTTGCATCGAGCTCTTGCCAGTTTACAGGGGTCCTAGCTGTCTCTTCCGTGTTAGGGAGCAACAGGGTCCTTCCTGTGTGATGCTGTAATCCCTCCCAATCCTTCAGTTACCTGGTTTCCCTTTTTAAAATGTTTCTTGTCGGGAAAATTGTTTAAGTGCGGCATTTCAGAATCATTGTCTAGCATAGGTTTTTTTGGGTGTGTGTACAATTCATTCCTTTTAATTCAATGCATTAAAACTCACACGTGTTTTAAGCCAAATGTATATAACAGAATGATTTCCCATGAATTTTAGCCACCAGATCTAATTTTTTATTATTATAAGTAAGCTATAAAATACAACTAAAATGCATTTATATATCTGTTCTTCCATGCACAAAATTATATATATATATGTATCTATTACATATATTTTATACTTCTAATAGTAGGTTTAAAAAGATACCTGATATTGAAGCATAGACTGAGACCAAAATTTTAAAATTTTATATTCAGCATATATTCAAAGATAATATAAGCATTACATAACTTTTTAAAGGGAAAAGATATGGTATGTAGCCTGCCATTTATTGAGATCATTTTCCACCAATATGCTGGAAATAATTTTACTGTTACCAAAATGAGACAATCGAGATATTTGGCAGAAACAATTTCTGGGTAATTTAAGAGAACAAAATCCCTTCACTAGAATTATAACTGTCTCTCTTTATGCTTTGACAGGGAAAGAAAGCAAGACTCACAAATTATCCTAAATATTATGTATTCTAAATATGTCTTCTATAGTGCTTGGGAATGAAATATAATCAAAGAAAGAATTAAGTGTTTTAATAAATATTCACACCCTTTTTGGCTTAGAGTGATTCAAATCCAATGTGATTCATGTAAAAAAAGAAGCCTTATTTCCAGAGATTAATTTCCAGGGATGACATGCCCTGATCAAGGTGACTTAGTTTTTAGAAAATAACCTTCACAGTCCAGCAATTACAAAGAATAACGTGGAAAAAACACTATTTCTTGGGAAAATTTCTAGGTTTCATGTTACTTTAATTGTGGCTTTCTGAATAATCTCTACAAAGAACAGGTGCCCCTAAAAAATGTAATTCTGAAACTTAGCGGGTGCAAAATAACACAGTGTGTTCCAAGATTTTTCTGCTTTTATTTTCCCACACTTTGAGTTTCAAGATCTCTGTGTCACCATACTAATTTGGTGACGTTCATAACAACTGGTCTAATTATTGGTGATGGTCTGTTTACTAACATCATCCATATGGTGACGTTATCCTGAGTGCTGGTTCAAGCCCTTGGCATAACTGGACGTGAGTGACTAGACGGTTCAGTTGCAGTGTTCTCAGTGAGGTTCACGTCCAGCTTTCTGTGTAGAATAATCACCTTCACTTTTGATTAAAGAGCTTCAGCTGGCCCGATCAAGAAAGGCCCCATGGAGAGCTGGGAAATCCTTACAAATTATTCATACTAAGAAATAGCACAAAAGAACTCTGGGCCTCAGTTTCACAGTTTCCTCTGAGTGAAATGTTGCATAGCTTCCCTTGCCTTCCCCTGCCCCCTCTGAGACCTGTCATGCTGACACCTCACTCCTGCATCCCCAGGCATGGTGTGGAGCTGAGGTTGCTGCAGCAACAGCACATACGGGGTAACATTCTCCCGTAATTACAGCTGCTGGGATGTGAGTCAGTTGAAGAGTCGTATTGGGTTTTTATTAGTATATGATGCAGTCCTATGTTGTCCACAGTTCCTAGCCTGTCCAAGACTCGCACAGGATGATGCAGAACACTCAGTGCTCATCACCTCCAAATGTTAGATGGTCCGGGGCCTCTCACCGAAACCAACTGCAGTTGCTAGCTCCTTCCACAGCTCCCTTTCCTGATAAACTACAGTAGGAGGTCAAGAGTAAAACTCAGGCCCCACTGCTGGAATTCCGCTTCTACTATTGCACATCCTGTGTGCTTTATAAGCAACAGTGACCTTGGCTGATGATCAAGACGCCCCTCTTTCACCCAGGGAACTGGACAATGGTTAACATCCTAGAAGACATATTTTCACTCCTTGTGGCTAGGAAGAACATATGCTGAAGAATAAGGATGGAATTACTGTAATTCTCTATAGGAATTTATGAAAGTGGAGCTTACCATTTAATAGCAATCAGAAGTGGTCATAGAGTTATCAGGAACTCCTAACACTGGATTTGGTTTCTTTTTCAGACACGGAGATGACTTGATTGTGACTCCATTTGCTCAGGTAAGCAGAGTTTGGTGAATGGACAGGTTTCTCATTTGAAAATTTAATTTGGGAAATGAGTTCTTGTTCTTAACATAATTTGCAAACACAAGTACAAATACAAATTCTTTGGTTCATTCAAGTAATTCAAAACCAATTCTAGAGAATATGAACTTGACCATGTTGGTTTGTTTCCTATAAACCCATAGACCTGAAGAGTTTCTTTGTTTCAAATTACAAATTACCTAAGTGACATGTTTCAGTGGGACCACACTTTCTTTACTGACATAGCACTAGAAGCGGAAGGCTATATAGTGGATTAAAATACATTTAGTATAATTAGGTACACGGTCAGTGCTTGAAATGGAATATTCCAGTTCAACCTGATGCTTCATTTACTCCTTCCTCTTTTTACAAGCCATTTGTACAAAGATTAACCGAGTGATGTGTGTGTGTTCATTTGTTCCTTTTAGGCATACACATCATGAAAATACTTTAAACACACAGCGTAAATACTAGAAGGTGGTAAAATGGTCTAGGGTGTTTTGAAATGTCTATAAAATGGTTGATAACCAGACATGTTTTATATGGACCAGTGCTCCTCAACCCTCACTGTGCATCAGAATCATCTTAGGGTTCACTCCGATCAAGTGAATTCAAAAATTTCAGGATTGGATCCGAATGCTTATATTTTTTAAGGGCCCCAGTATTTGTCCAGGAGAGTTGAGAGCTTCTGGTGTAGACAGACTTAGGACAGAATGGGATAAAGCTGATTTAATTTGAGGCATGAAACAGGTTTAAAGCCAACATTGACTGTTAATAGAAAATGCTAAATACTGGACTTTGAGTGATCCAGAGAAGTTATAAACAAATAATCATCATGTCTGACCAGTTCTGGTGCCTTGGGCAACTCCTCTAGGCAACTTCTCTAGGACTTCTTTTTTCCCTTTGGTGAAATTGGAGGGCTAGGTTGTAGAAAGATGGGCCCCAGTTCAACCCCGTCTCCCCATCTTGCTAAGTGAATAGCCTTGGGCTACTCACTGGATTTTTGTAAACCTCGTTTCCTCCTAAATGACAATTCCAAGTACTCACCTCATAAGGTGGTTAAGAGATTGAAACAGTACCAGGCTTGTAAAGTACTCACCGCAATTTCTAGTGCTATCAGTAAGAGCTCTTTCATTTCTAAAATGTCATAACAAGTATTGTTTTTAAAAACGCAAAATGGCAGTGTTTGGGTAGTAGAATTATTCATGATTCTTTCACTCTTGCAAGTTTTCTGAAATTTTTAATTGCTATAATTTAGACAAAATGTTTAATGAATCCATAAATAACACAACTGAATCAAGTGATTTTTTTTAAATTAATGAAGGCAATTAAAGTAGAATAAAACCACCATCCCTTTCAGAAGGCTCATGTCTTGATGGCTTAAGGTCTTGCCTAGACATCATAAATTATGTCTAGTAACTATATTTCTATGTTCAAAAAAATTTTACTAACATGTTTTAGTCATATTTTCTGACAGCAAAATTATGTAAATCTAAGGATTTTTAATTCCTTACTAGTGAGAACCGGTCATTTTATTTCTAAGAGCTGGGAACTGAGTGAAAAGATAAAATCTGGCAAACTAATATAAACAACCATCAACAAATATAGAAGTAATCATTCCAACGAGTTTATTCAGGTACCTATTCTTGCTTGTAACTAAAATCTCCAGGTATAGTGATAACAAAAACATATTTAAATATGTAGTAAAAAGTGAAAAAACTATTCTGTATATGATACCTTCTTCCTTCAAGTAGTATTTATTAATTTCTAATAAATTTGACTCAGTTCTTAATCATCAGTACTCTTAAATTCTAAGAAAATCTTTTACATAATCAGACATTTTCTGTAGTATACCCTTATAATCTCTAAAAAGTATGTAGAAGTTCAATACACTGAGAAATATTTATATCCATGTATGTATAAAATATCACTTAGTCTGTGTTAGTAAACTATGTAAATAAATATGTGTGCTTAATACCCTCAGACGCTAGAACTCGAAATATAAACCACCTCTGTGTAATGTGTAGGCATATCTGATGCCTGATAATAATTCCGGAATGCTTTTGGAAGAGTTTGCTTATGATTAGCTTAATGACTCATAACTCCTTGAAGAAGGTGATTGTTGCCCCGAGCTGCAGATTCTTTTTAAGTGGCTTCATCAGTTTTCACAAATGGTATTTTTCCAAGCTATGTGGCATAGAAATCTCTAGTAGAATAATGTTTTTAAAAAATGCCTGTTAAACCCTGAATGATTTCACCAGTGAGAGAACCTCTTTGGAAAACCAGGTAAGAAAGAAGGCCCGGTTAGTCAGCTGCCTTCTCTTTAGCCCCACTGGGCACAACTCCCTTATTTTATTGACCTAACCCGTAACTCCTCAAGTTTTCGATACAAGATAAAATAGTCACCACTGAATGATAATATTATAATGCTTAAAATATAAGATGTTTGTGTCACTTAAGGTGATACCAACACTAGCCTAGCATACCGTAGTTGCTTTTGCCAATGGACAGAAGACCAGTCACTCAGGGCCATGTTCAGGTAGGCCAAAAAAGTCTCCCCTTTTCCCAGCATGCTTTGGGGTTTAGAATTTCACACTAAATTCTTCTGGTGAAAAAGCCATATTGCCTTCAAAAAAAATTTTTTTTGCAGAAAAAGTTTAGAAAAGAAAAGTAAGCAAAAGAAACAAAAGAAAATTTCCCATAATTCTAAACCCCACAAGAACTAGTACTGATATTTTAATTCATATCCCTTTAGGCTTCTTTCTCCTGTGTGTATTTTCTTTACTAAAATTCTTAAAAATGAGCTTCCCATTGTCTATAGTAAACAAAGGTCTCCCAAATCCATCTCATCCTCTGCCTCTTCTTGAGAACTCAGTCCTATTATTCCTGAGTGCATCGGCAAATGATGAAAGGACCCTTTATTTTTTCTCCAGTCATGGTATCCTGTGACACAAGAGAATAAACTAAATTAGAAGAGAATTTAGGGCATCCTACAAATATATATTCCACCTACGTGGACAGGGCTGAAACCTAAGTCATGTGGGGTAGACACAGTCTTCAGAAAGGACCCTCCACATTCTATTCCCATGTCCACAGCCCTGTCAGGGTTAGAAACCCGTGCTGGTGTGTTGAAACTAAGCTCTCTTCCACTTTCAATTTCTTATATGGGGTGTAAGTCCCCTACAAGTTCAGAATCTTGATCTTCAGGAAAAATAACAGCTTTGAACACTTGACTGGTTTCCATTCTGAAATATGCTATGTTTATGCCAAAAATCTCTTGGGGTGGGAATTTCCTTTGGCCTGAAAGCTGGGTGTTGAGGACTCCCAGTGCTGAGCCACGTCGCACCCCTGGGCCGCTGGCCTTTTCCTCCCACGGATGCAGTAACAGTTTGGCCAGAGTTCTTGCAGGGAACCAAGGAGAGGCTACCTGGTGAAGTGTGGGGGCTGCGGCTCTACAGTCAGCTGCCTCTGGACCCACCGGCCCCATTATTTGTTATGACGATCTTGTAAAACTCTAAGTCAACTAGAATTCTCCCATGGAAGTGCGAAGTGTTAAAGAAATACCTTTGCTCAAGGAAAAGACAGAAAACACAGAAATATGCTCTTGGATCCCTGGGTGGACTCTCACATCATTCAGACTAAGAAGATATGCCTCATTTAAAAATCCAGAGTAAGAACAAGTCTCATTTTACTCTTCCTCTAACCAAAATACAGCAACTGGGATAATTTTATGAAAAGTGTAAACATTATGGAACATTATTTTCCCATTGGTAACAGAACGTTGTCAATTTTTTTAACAATGCCCCAGAATGCCCCTTTCCTCTTTGACCAAGCAGCAGCCATTTTGTGGCCTCGTCACAGCCCCTCACCCCGGGATGCAGGAAGATAATCCCCCATTGCAGTTGTTTCTGTTCCTTTATTATTATTATTATTCATTTAAAAACAAAAATCGCAGCTAGCCATCTTCTAGAAATCAATATTTGTTGACATACAAAAACAGCATTTCATTTTACATGGTTTAACCAAAACATAATTTGGGAAAAGGTTTTATTTTCTATCAGAGTGACCTTTCTCTCTTGTAAATAATCATAATTTTACTCCAGTTTTTTCCTGGAGGTAAAACAAAGGCAAGAAATTATTTCTCCCTCCCACTTCCCTATAAGGCTATTGGCAATACATAGTCGATGTTTCAGCGCCATCTAGTGACCTAAAAAGTATTTAGAATGAAAAAAAAAACTCTTCAAAATAATTTCTTTGTAATTTTTTAGGCAGGGAATTTTTAAACATTATTACCATGTTTTTAAAAAGATAGAACTCTCTTTAAATACTTTCAAGAAATTATTATTATACAAGTATATATTTCTTTTAGGCTATTATGTTCCCTTGTTTAACTTTTTAATGAAGCTCACGTTTTCCTGCTGCTTTCAGTGAATCTCATTGGTTAGTAAATGTTCAGAAGTACCCAAGAAAACCAGAGGTTAATGTGCATAAGTGACATTTACACTCTTTCATGGGCTAGTACATGACCCATCTTTATGTAAAAGTTTCTCATTAACAATATTAAATTTATTTCCCAAATTGTGTATATTTCTCATTATTCCCCATATATTTTTGATCTTGACGAATTACACTTTTGGTTAAAGGAACAGAAGAGAAATAAATGACTTTAATCATTTTTAACCATTAAGCTGTGTGAGAGAAAACTTTAGGGACATTTGTGGTTAGCAAGCATTATGGAGTGAAGAAAATGACAGGAGCCTTAAAGTCCTGACAGCAACTCGTTGAATTCAAGGGGGATGAGACTGGCCCAGGGCAGACGGAGAATCACTGAGCCCTAACCCAGTGGCTTGAGTGAAGCTGCTTCCGGTTCGCCCCCACGGCCTGCGGTAGCAGACGCCTCCCTCTTCCATCCTCAGTGCCAACTAGACGACCAGCACAGTGTGTTTGCAGTGGCAACATCCGGGCCAGTCCGCGGGGGCCTAGGGCAGTGGCCCCTCCTAGGGAGTGTCCCAGCTTTTATTCACACTTCTGCCCGCATCCTAAGTGTCACCGTGCAGAAGAGAAGAGTTAATATAAAAAATATCAACATTATTTATCCCACCACACAGACAGTGACTGGATACTTGCGCACACAGGGAGTGAGGAGGCTATGAGGCTATTTTTACTGTGGCCATGTTTGCAAAGGCACAGTGTAGGGGACAACCTGAAAGTCAACTAGTCAAGGGGACAGGCAGCTGAATGTCTGAAGGAGGGCTGAGAGGGAAATTTCTTTTTTCACTTTTTAGGTTGAAGTATCTCATACATATCAGAGAATATATCTAGTGATTATCTAAAATCTAAAGAATAATACCAAAAAATCAACAGTTTAAGAAATAAACCAGTAGCAACATTTAAATGCCCTGGTATATTTCTCCCCATTTTCACCTTCCTGCCTCCTCTCAGAAATAGCAATAATTTTGAATTTTGTCTTTGTTATTGAGGGGAGATATTTGGCTTTTTACCCTTTTTTGTTTAGATCTGTATCATGTGAAGATGTATTATGCAAAAATAAAAACTTTAAATTTAAAACTGAAACAACATAATATAATTTTATCTTTATTATAACAGTCATAAACCCTTTAACAGAAAACAAATTGTAGAATATCTTTTATGAACTAATGTTTACTTTCAAATGAGCATAGAACATGAATTGCCTGCAGTACAATTGCTGTTTACCCAGCTGTCAAATGTAGTGTGCACTTACTATAATTTATTAGAATAAAATTCTAAGAATTCTGAGCTTAAAACTTTTGTCTGGGAAAAGGATTGATTACCAAGTACAATAATCTTAATTTAAATGCTTTATTATTGTACTTGACATTTAATTCTTAAGTTAAGCCTGCATGATTTAATGACAGTGAATTATTTGTTAGATTTATTTCTGCATCATTCAAGATTTCATGCCTGAGGAAAGACCCCATTGTCTGACGTCAGCTGTTGGCAATTTGCATACACGGTCACAGGCAGTGTGACCTTTCAGCGCCGTGAGTTGTTTGTATGTGACAGTGAGCCAGGTTTTTCCATGACCGAGCTAACCACGGCTGGACCCCGAGGAAGCACCAATCACTACTCAGGGGAGAGTGACCTACAAGAATTAATGCCAATTTCAAAAATGCCTCATTTTTTTTTTAAGTTCTTAGAAAATGTTAAGACTGACTTTAGTTTAAGTCAATGCCAGATGAAAAAAAAATCTGAAAACAGTTCTGGAAACCTTGCAGCAATTATAAACCTGGTGTCCTTCACGTTATCCATGGTGGGCATGCGTGACCTCCCTGTGCTCACACCAAACCAGCAATCGAAGGGAACGTCACCACAACGTGCACTCTCCATTTGTCAGACGTTGTTCTCGGCACCTGACTTGTCCCTGCATGTCATCTTCACCACGGCCCTTTGAGGTAGATGTTCCTGTCCCATTTACAGATGAGGATGCTGGTCTGCAGGGAAATTAGGTAACTTGTCCAAGTTCACGCACTGGGAACACAACAGGCCAGGCAGTCTAAGCTATTATGTCACTACCCAATGGGGCATCTGTGCTTTAGGTCCCTTAACATCCTGGTCCTCACCCAGATTACCTGTAACCTCACCTAATACAGGTTTCACCCTGGGCAGAATGCCAGGAGGGTAGAGCTCTCGTACCTTTTCTCTTCTAGTCTCACTTCCAATCCTTTTACCACTTTCCAGGGTTACTGATTAGAGAAAGGAGGGGCTGTCGGAGACCGTGGGGCCTATCGGTCCTGCCTCCTGTGTGTGGCTGTCGTGTCATTCATTAAATGCATTCATATTGAGTATTTTCAGTGGGCCAGGTGCTGTGCACATACAAGGCAGTCTGAGTCGATGTGAGAAATAACAAAGAGAATAACTTCTGTTCCCTTGCTAGACTAGCCATGTAGCAGAGCTGAAAAAACAATTCAAAATTTACTTGGTGACTTTGAAATGATGACATTCTCGGTGAATTTTTTAAGAGAATTTGAGAGTCATTTGTCTTAAATTTTACCTCTAAAGTGAGAGTGGAGTAATATTTTATATTGCACTGTTTCAGATTTGCCTAAAAATGCAACAAAGCTGTATGTGTATCACCTGGGATATTGTTTTGGTGGCTAAGGAATCTAGGAATGCTATGAGAACTGCTGCTACTGTGATCAAGTTCACAGACCGTGAAGGGAGATATCTGGAAAATTCTTGCAGTCTGACCTCCCCAGATTTCAAACAGACACGTGTAAACTTCACTAAGTAATGGGGGGTTCTCTAGTCATAAATGAAACTGAATTGCAAGCATTATCAACTTTTCACGTAAACCACTTTTAAAAACCACCAAACCATGTTAAATTGCATTCAAGATGGCCCTGCTTCAGGAAGTTTAAAATCTTTTTTTGTCCTAGGTCTTGGCCAGCCTGAGAACTGTACGAAACAACTTTGCTGCGTTGACTAATTTGCAAGACCGAGCACCTAGCAAGTAAGTTGCCCTTTGTCTCCCTCTTCCATGCTGCCCTTTTACATGGTGTGCTCTCAGTTTGATCGCCTTTTCTCAGGGCAATATATTAGATGTCTCTGAGTCCTGCCCTCGATGTCTGACCATGTACACTAAGTCATATGCTGTCCTGCTAATTTTCTATAAATACTTTGTAGTGATGGTTCTAATGTCAGACCTGAAGCAGGATGACAAATAAATATGGTGATTCCATCTGTCAGAAATCACCTGGCATAATCACTCCTCCGCCCGGTTATGTAGACTCAGGGTAACTTTATAGTTTGGGCTTACTCTGTAAATTAACCGTGGACAAATAATGTCATCAAGCCTAATGTCAACCCAAAGTCACCCTCTTACTTCTGAGTCAGTGATCACTCAGGGAGCACCTCATCGCAGCAAACGACTTTGGTTTTTCTGCTGTTACCACCCCTCAGATCAGCAGCATCGGGGAGCAAGGAATACAATTGTAATGTATGTGATAACAGAGCAAGCATTTGAAAGAAGAAAAGCTGAAGGAGGAAGTTATTATATTTAGGGAGCTCTGATAACTGTGAAGTATCTAAAAAGAGAACATTAATTTCCACCAGATTAGGTGGAAAACTGATTAGTTATTCAAATGCTCAGTATTTTGACAATCTATTATTAACTATAAAGCATTAATATTAAAATATCAACTCTAATCTATTTTCAAAAGAAAAAACATTTCTTTAAATCAATATTAGGCTATTTTATAATGAGCAGAAATTTACTTGGAATTACAACTTAGCTAAGTATATAAAACTTCTCAGTTGTTACCACTCCTTTTTTTAAAAAGATTTAATTTTATTTATTTTTAGAGAAAAGGGAAAGGAGGAAGAAAGAGAGGGAGAGAAACATCAATGTGTGGTTGCCTCTCACGCGCCCCCTACTAGGGACCCGGGCCCACAACCCAGACCTGTGTGGTTCACAGGCCAGTACTCAGTCCACTGAGGAACACAAGCCAGGGCAGTAGTTACTACTTCTTGAAGAACAAAATAAAACTAAACTTTTCATCTCATAGTCACACAATTGACCTCCCAAATCCATGTTTGCCATGGTTTATAGAAAACCTTTGGCTATTTTGTACCTATGGTGTAAAAAGTTTTCTTAGAAATCAGTATAAATGTCTCAATCCAAATAATTGCATGGAACCCAGAAGCTTCAGTTGCTTATGTTTTGTAGGTAAAGACCTTTTGCAGTCGTGTTTCCTCAGCCTGAACATTTTTTTTTCTTACTTTCTTCTCCCCCTCCTCATCCACTGGGCCAACTATAATCCACAGCTTAATGACAGTTTCTGTGTCATCGCTCCTAACACTCAGCACACACACACACCCCCACGGGCCCCAAACTGGGTGGCAGCCACTGGGTGGCTGATCGTGTCCCGTGCCTAACTTCTATTTTAGCACATACGCCTAGATGCTCAAGTTACCTATTTGCTTGTCTACACTAAGTGTTCTTAAGCATGTCCGTCCCCAGTGAGCAGGGTTTGGTTTTCCCCGGTTCACATTTGTATCCCCGTGACTGGTGTGATGCTCGGCACAGAGCAATCACTCCGCCTGTGCTTGTCTGGAAGGGCCACGCTGTGATGAGTACGTGGGACTGGACGTTGTGCTCGTGGTGTGTGCTCACTACCACGTGTCTCCTGTGCTCCATGGCCACACAGTGTCATGCTGACTCCCAGGGACCCTTGGGGCTGTCGGCATTTGGTGGCTCAGTCACCTCCTCTTTGGAAAGTCTGAGCCCTGCAGGAGGAATAGAATTACTGGTATCACCCCCCAATTTTTTTCATTTTAAATTTAACTCAGGAAATAGAAGTATTTCTTTAAATGGCAAGCAAGACACTTTTATAACTCCTCTTCCACTTCCTTCAGACATGGCCCCTTGGGAACTAGCATCCAAATCTGTGGGAGGCCAACAGTTGTTCAGACTGCTGTGAAGGCATCAGTCTGGTCTTCTTTTCCATTCTCTGCAAGACTGAAGTTTTCATCTGATTTCCAGTGACAGAACAGATTACAGTGGAAAAGAGCAGCTAGAGGAAGATAGAAAATCACGGTTTATGCCCGATCTGGACTTACACTATAAGGCCCAGGATGACATCTCACCAAACTGCAGTATCTGATAGACTTGAAGTAAAGCCTCTGCTGTCTCTCTCTCTCAGTCAGTGCGGATTCGTATCCCCTTTACTGATTCAAACCAAATCAGCCTCCTCAAGTATCAGATTAATAGGATTGATTACATACCGCTAAACTCTGTTCCGTCCAGTGATAGCAGAATGAGTATAACTCTGGCTCACCCCATGATGACCTAAGGAAATCAGAATTTCCCTGCGGGCACTCACAGAGCCCCTGGAATACTTCCAAGCTCACCCTTGAATTCTGGGGAAGGCCTGTGCTACCTCACACAATCCACCTTTTTATTTGCTACAAGAAAGGCATGTGGGAAGAATGGAGCCCTGAGCCCTGGGGACACTCGAGTGCACACTGTTGGCTTTTATGAACCCATACTGGTTCTTATCACCTTGCTCCTTCTTGCCCTTGAGATTTTTTATTCCAGAAGTAAGTTCCCACTCATTGTTCATTAATTGACTTATCACTGTACCCACGGATCAAACAATTAACATTTTCTGGTTGCTGTTGCTGGTCGCCGTATCAAGTTCCCAAGGGCCATTTACAGGATTGATATTAGGAGAAGATAACATATAACGAGTCAATGATTTAGTTTTCCAAAAGTTTTAAAGAAAAGTTTTAAAATATTCATTTGATACTTTTCCCAGGCAAAATAAATGCTTTCTAAATTTTCACAGAACAAGAACTAAATAGGAGCAACCGATATATAAATTATTTGAATAACAAACTTCCAGTGAGAAAATAGCAATATATACACCAGAGCTACTTCAGAGTAGCAGTTTAAAACATTCATTTTTTGTGTTCCATTAGGCATTAATCAAGTTTTAAATCACCTCCTTTTATTCATAATAAAAACTAAATTAATTCTGAAGTAAATGTTGGTGCATCTTCCATCAGACACAAAATTCCAGCCCCAAACGGGCTTCAGTAAACATCAGAGCAGAGCAGACACTCCCCACGGCTTTTCCCTCGGACCTCCCAGCCCCACCCAGCTGGCGAGTTATCACCGGAAGGCGAGTCCAGCAGGGCTCTGCAGGACCCCCATCTGCACAGATGTGTGCTGTTGTTCTCCCAGCTTCCGTACTAGCATCCCAACCACAGGGCAGCCGGCAGAGTGCAGTCTCCAGAATCACGTTACTTTAGTTCGCATCTCAGCTCTTACCTCTGAACAGTGTATTCAACTTCTCAAAGCTTTGTTTTCCTCATTGGTAAAATGGGAACAAGGACACTATTTGCCTTAAGGTTTGTTGTCCTCACAACAACAAGGTAATTCATTCAAATCTCTCATTTAATACAGTGTCTGGTACACACTGTTTAAGTCTTAGCCACTAACAGAAATTTAAAAAAATTTTTTCAGATATTCTTACATATATCTATTTTAATATTTTTAAGATTTTTTATGTATTAAATTTTAGAGAGTGGGGAAGGAAAGGAGAAAAAGAGGGAAAGAAACATCAACGGTTGTCCTCTCACGTGTGCCCCAGATGGGACTGTACTTGCCTGTGACCCAGGCATGTGCCCGGCCGGGAACCACACTGGTGACCTGTCACTTTCTGAAAGGCTTCTATAGCACCTATCTACACAAGTCAGTAAGACTGATCTCCAGAAAACATTATTCAGAGATGTTTCTCGATATAAGAAAATAGAAAGGAAAAAGGCTTATTAAATAGCTTCACTAATTGTAATAGAGTGTACAAGGAGTCACGTCTGATAATGTACAGGTAATCATAAAAATGTATGCCAGAAATAAAAGCTTTTTAACACTGTACAAGGGAAACTAATTGCAGATTGACTACTTTTTCAAATTCAGAAAGTCTGTGTTTGTCCCGTAAGCCCTGACTTCACCGAGTATAGTCACTCATTCAGAACCTCCTCTTCCCTCGGGTCCCTGAGGTAGGTGTGTCAGCCGTGCTCACCCCAGAGTCTGTCGCTGTGAGATGTGACTGTTTTCATGTTGACACATGTGATCTGAGCTCTGGTATGAAGGGCACCCGGGCACTTGGATGGTTGGTCTGAAAAGAAATCTTCATGCGTGTCCTAACTTAAAAAATAATGGCGAATTAAAATGGCATATCTGAAATGGCTCAGAGAGCCCTAAAATCAACAAGCGCCCCATATTTACTGCTGTGTATTTTCTCCTCTCCCTTAGAAGATCACCCATGTGCAATCAGCCTTCCATCAACAAAGCCACCATCACAGGTAAGAAAGACCTGGGCGCCTGTTCTTCTCATGTGTGCACAGAACCGTATCTTCCAAGATTCAGCACAATACTCACGCCAATTTTATACCGCCATTGTACAATTTTAAAGAAATTAATCCTTTCTTCTCTATATTACCATTTCTCTCATTGATCTCACAAGTTGTCCATTTAAACTATTACTTGGAAAATCTTTACTGACATATTATTTTCTTAACTGTCAAGTGCACTTAAGTTCAGCCTTGCTCGTTGCACTTGTATTTTGAGAAATAGCATTACCTTTAAAACGCTGACCATGTAGCTTCCAGTTTTATGTTATTGGTATGATGTTACTATATGGTTTAATGAAAGTGAACGCATAACTAAAAAGCACCTTCTTGGGTAATCATTATCCCAGGTGTGTGTAGGAAAGAATACCCTTCCAGTAATCTTGATTTGGACCCGGAGAGTTGAGAATGAATTCTGTTTGGAAGGAAAGAGAGGAAGTAACTATATAATACAGGAGAGTTCAAGGGGAGCAAACAGACAGATGTTGAAGAAGAACACTGGAAAGAAGAATGAGCAATGCAGAGGGCAAAGAAAATAAAATCATCCCAGTTCCTACTAGCCTGTTTTAGACAAGGGACCTAACCTCAGCTGAACCAAAAACAGAACAGATGATCTTACTTTACTGAACCTGAAATCAAATTGAATTTATTTAATCATTTCTGGAAACCTCAAATGACTAATTAAAATAATTGCCCAGAAAAGAAAACCCATGTTTTCTGAAACTATTAGCAGAAGAAAATTAACATATTATCCAAAATAGACCCGTATTTAGTTTGGTCCAAGTGGCTCCCTTGGACTCCAACTCCTAACCTGTTGAGGAGCAGCTTGTTAAGTTGCAGGGAGTATGTTAGGCAGCACTTCCCACCCAGCTGGGTAGTGACCATCACATTGGAGTTGATTGTGGTGCAATTGTTAAAGTTGTTTTCTTCCTGAATGTCTTTGGGAGGGAGACTCATGTTCAATGATTAAATTCTTTATTCCCTTTCCCATGTTTATCTTTCAAGATTTTGTTGGTGATGATTTTCATCTGTCATTTCATAGTTTATGCCTGGTCCCTCAGTGTTCTTGACATTGATCGAGGGATGAACAATAGCTGAAATTCCTGTACATTAAACTTCTTTGAGTAACAAATCTCTTTTTCAAGGACCCCAATTAAATGTCAATGAGCCTAAACTAAGATGAGGATGAAGAATGAAGCTCTTTGTTTCCATCCCTTATCTGACTGTTAAGGGGTGAGGAGGCCGAATTGTGCAAGCATGTGCCAGGGGCCTCCAGTGAGAGACACCACATGGAACCTTGTCCCCAGCCCTTCTTCCAACCCCTATGAAGAAGGGCGAACCCTCCCCACAACCCTTGCTATTTTGGGAATGAGCAAGACTCCAACATTGTGGTATAAGCAGAATGCAGTGCTATTTTGGTCCCTGAAACCTTTTGTAGCTTGAGGTCACACATGAACCAGCTCTGCTGAAGCATTCTCCCTGAGGAGCAGCTGCAGGTACCATTCGCTGGAGACAGGTGTTCAGCAAGAGGTGGTGGGTGCTCAGTGGCCAGCTCAGCTGTCCCCCACCTGGCACAGCCTGGCACTGATTCAAGGGAGGGGAGCTGCACTCACAGGGCACAGACTCCGTCTCGGACACGTGTGAGACACCCCATGCAGGCTCCAGAAATGCATACATAGTATTGCAGCCCAGGAGCAACACCAGAGGGAACTGTGCATCACTAAAATCTGGGAATTAAGGCTAATATGGCCCAATGTGTGCCCACAAGCTCCTGGGTTGTGGGGAGGGCGGCTAGGGACAATGGGACTACAGAAATATCTTATCTAGGAAAGGAAACTAATTAACTGTCATTAAGTGCTTAGTGCAGCTGTGTGCATCCCAAAGCACAACAGGAAATCAACTGACTAGAGAATGGAAGTCGTTTTCCTTGCCCAAGCATAGCAAACGTGGTAGGAAGGAAGGTGGGATGGGGTTGGGAGGATGGGGGCAGCAGCGGGGAAGGTTCCCCTCTTGGGGCCATTTTGAAAAAGTGGCCTCTTAAAAATATCAATAATGATGATAACAGTGTTTGAGACTTTGATGGAAGACTTGAGACACACAGAGAAGGTGGCGCTTGTAAATTTCCGCCCTCGCTTCCAGCTGACTGCCAGGTCCTCCCTCCACCGGCAGCCTCTCACCTCTCGTTGTCCGAACCCAGCGGGCAGGCCCTGTGCTGTACTCCCCAAAAGGGCAGAAAAGAGTGTGAAAGGAGTCAATGAAACGGTCTTTAAGATGAACTTGGCCTCCTTAGAGACTTTGTTTAGGTCTAGAGGAACCATGTAGCATATGGTTAAGACGTGGTACTCAGACTCCCCCTCAGGGCAATGTCCCAGACCGTCTGGGACGCCCCGAGAACGGGGAACCACGTTCAGGATCCGAACTGCGCTCTGTGGTGTTAGCTGCCTGGCCCTGCGCAGGTTACACACCCTCCCTCTGTCTCCTCACTTATGAAATGGTGATCACACGTCTTACTCTGTGCAGCCCAGTGATTCACAGGGTAAGCACTCATATGTCCTTTTTTCTATTTGGTTATATTTCAAGAGTCCACTCTGTCTACAGAACTGGGGGTGATGGAAAGATGGGACGGGCAATGAAAAATAGAGGGAAGAAGGAGAGAAAAACAAGATTGCAGAGTTCTAACATTAAAAGTTATGGAGCCCCCCCTGAAAAATGGCCAAAGCGGGAACGCGTCCTTCGTGCCCGTCAGCGAGGGGCCTCCTGTTCCCTGGGCCGTGTCCCCTCCTCCCCCAGAAGCCACAGACACTGGTGCCTTTGTGACATGGATGACAAACTGCTGTTCAGGATCATTTTCAAAATCTAAGAATTTACTTTTGAGTCATAGCTCTTCGGAGGAAATAAAAATGACTCCCTAACTTCTCCAGAGAGCCACTCTTTGATTCTTTTAGGAAGGAGAGGGAAGACGCTGGGCCACCTCAGAGGTCACTCTGTTTCCTCAGGCTTTCTCCCCTGGAACTCAGGGCACCTTCTTCACCCCTGTGAGGTTTCCGTTTGGCAGGAGTTAAAAAGCCAGGAAAGTTTCACCTTGTCATGGTTATGGCTAAAGCATTTTAGTCACATACCAGTTTTTATTTCCATATACTATAAGTAAATGCATGGCTGTAAAATGATTTAGCAGTATTCTAAAAATAATATAAGGACATTTATAAAAGAACCTTACTATTAAATAGCTATTTTCTTCTTCGGTGTGATTTAACAAAAAGATGGTGTGTGCCATTGGGAGCTTGAGTATAAACCCCTACTTTCCCCTTTGCTTCATCTCCTCGTTGAAGAGTGGAGCTGTGAGTAGCCACCCCTCTGTGCTGCTGCAGGAATTCGACGTGAGAGCTTAGATGAGGAACAGAGTTCAGCAAGTTACCAGGAGCTCACCAAGGGTTTCTTCCCACAGCCCTATTCTGGGCCTGAGTTTTTCTTTGTTCCTAAAGTTAACCTAAAAACCAGTGGAGGAGGGGGACATTGATATGATTTTGTTCTCCAACAGGAATGACAGGACGTTTAGGGAACCTGTATTAGATGCAGGCTCACCTGCGCAGGTCCTTAGCAGGTGGCGGAGAGCAGGACGGTGCGTTGAAACAGGGGAGGAGAGCAGGGGGTGAGGGGCGTGAAGCCGTGCCTGTATTGTGCTGTTTCACACAGGTGGGGGACAGCCATGTCTCTTTGGACCCAGCTAGTCATTTTGTGCATTTTGTTTGTAAACGATGTTGACTCAGGAAAAGGTATCTCATGAAACTTCATCATGTCTTCACAGTTCCAATTTGCAGTGTTTCCAATTTCCATATTTTCATTTCCTCTCGTATTTTGAAATTGAGAATTTTCGTGTAAAAATGTAAGTCAGAAAACATTTATTTAAACTTCTCTGTATTGCAGATGAGAATAGTGAGGCCTAGTGAGAGAAAATGTTACTTGGAGACAGAACTAGGAATAAACACAGCATTCCTTTTTCTAAGTCCAGAGACCTTCTTACACCTCTGTAAAAATCACCCATCCAGTTGGGGTTAGCCATGGGGCCCACAGTAGAAGTATATGCTTTAGAGAAACTAAAGGAACTAGTAAAGGCTATTAATTTCTGAGCACCAGATATGGCACTGGGGTTTTTGTACATAGGCTTCCAAGTCAGAAAATAGTGTGTGTCCCTTCTCACTAGAGAGATCTTATATTTAGAGCTGTTTTGCTACTATTCATTCATTATGTCCTAGAGGGCCTCAGGTACAGAAAGATTTGCAGCCTAAGGCAAAGGACTTTCAACTTCTGACTTGAGAAAATAAAAGCTCTCTCCACGCAGTAAAATGCGAACAGTTGCCACTTTTCGCCTGTAGAGGGAGACAAGTGATGGAGGACAAGCACAGAACACAAGAGTAGTGTTAGCCCAAAAAAGAAATTTGGTGTGAGCCTCCACGCTACCTCATCTGTTTTTACCCTAAATATATGTAACTCCTTAAAAATGAATTCTAAATAGAATTCGGTCACTGGGTAAGTAGAGTATTTAAAAAGTAAACCACAAAATAATGCTAGTCAGTCAAAACACTCAGTCAAAACACAACAAGAAGAAACTTAACCTTGTATATTATTCTTCTTCTAAAACAAAGAGGTTTCTAAAATCTAACAAAGGGAAAAAAACAACAAAGATATTTAACTGGAACAATTATTTTGTTATTATCTGGACTAATCATTTAACACACTGAGCTTGGGAAAGAAAGGAAACACAGCAACTATTTTATGGGACAATAGTGATACTAGTATATAACCTTATGAAGGTCTGCTTTTTGAGTCTGTGTGTGAATGTGTAATAAAAACAAGTAGTGTATGTAATATAAAAGATATGTATACATATACATATATACATACACAAGGTATATATGCATATGTACATACATATGTGTGAATGTACTTACATATAT